CTATAGCATGGTTTGGCTGACGCATATCGACGCATAGGCGCACTTCATCGGGATTCTTCGGTTTTGGCGCAACAACTACTGGCGTAACCCACGGGGTTGGACCATCTACTTTCTCTATGATGTCCAATTCTTCCAACCTTTTCACCTCTTTCTCTAACTTCTCACGCGTATGATACGGGATTCTACGATGGGGCTGGGCCACAGGGCTGACATCTTCCCTGACATGTAACTTTACTTGGTAGCCCTTCATTCTACCGACACCACTGAACAACTCGGGATGAGACTGGATATACTTATCCACCGGCCCCCCTGACTCAACTTGACTGACACTTCCGGGTTTTATTATCTTCAGCAACCCAAGCTTCTGAGAAGCCTCACAGCTCAGAAGCGACGTCTGGCCGTGCTTTGCAACATATATCTTTTCAGTGACACTTTCACCGTTGCTCGACAGCTCTGAATCAAACACACCAATAACATTCAACTTGTTCTTTCCATACGCATTCACAGTTCTGTCACTGTCTCTCAGTTTCGGGCGGGGCGACAGCAGCTCGAATGTCCCTTCACTCATCATTGTGCATGACGCTCCTGTGTCCGCAACCATTGAAACTGGCACACCGTTCACACTAACACTGAACACGGGTTTCCGAACTACGCTCTCGGATTCACATTTGAACACATACTCCTCATGCTGGTCAGGGGCAGCACTAACATGTTTCACGTTTTCACTCGGGTTCCCTTTTGCTCTACACCACTTGGCAAAATGCCCAACTCTACCACACTTCCTACACTCAACACCATTCGCTGGGCACACACCGCCTTCGTGTGGGAATTCAAATCTTCCACATCTGTAGCACTGCAATTTTCTTCGCTGACTCGGCGCGGCACTCGTCGCGGCACCTGATGCGGCTGGCACAGCACTCCTCTTCTGGTATGTTTGACGCGGGCGTACGGCCTGGACGTCTTCTTCTTCTTCCGCGTCCTCGGCGACAACGGCATTCGCACCCTCTCTCGACTTCAGCATACCCGCGGCTTGCTTCGACGCAACCTCTTCTAGTCGACCCTGGCTGAGAAGAGACTTTAACAAAATGTCTCCTTCTGTGAGGCCTTTCCTTCTCACCTTCGCGGAGCTGCATCCGGAAATCAACTGAGACTTGATCTCGGACTCGACACTGCCCTCTGGGAACCTGCATAGCTCGGCTGCTTGCCTGAGCTTTGTGTGGAAGCAGTCTATGCTTTCACCATCAGCCTGTACGAGGCGACGGAAAAGAAATTTTTGGTATTCAACGTTGATTTCTGGAGCAAACTTCTCACTCAGGCTCTTCTTTGCCTCTGCGTAGCTCTTGCCGGTCTCTTCCAGCGTACAGAACACGTCGTACGCGCGGTTGCCTATTGTGTGCAAGAGTATCGCCCTCCTCTGTTTGTCTGACTCAATCCCCATTGCTTCCAGGTAGATGTCGAGACGCTTGATCCATTTCTCCCAACGCTGGGCTGTGGACTGAGGATCATTGTCCACATCAAATGGGGGTGGGGGGATGAGACTTGGAATTGTCATGACAGATGACAACTTGTGGAGCCCACACACTTGACTGTCACTTACACACAAGACTAACAGTAACAGTAACAGTAACACACCGGCAGTGACACTGACAGTCACAACAGTTCATCTGGGAAACCTGTTAGAAAGGGTTAGTTCAACACTTGAGCAAGTGGCAATCATCAACACGAGAGCGCACTTGGAGTTCCTGACTCACTGAGGCTGAGCACATGGTTTCAAGCATTGACATTGAAATTGTTGCGATCGGCAGCATGGGTTCAACTCAACTGTCCATTTCCAGTCGACACTGGGCTCTCACAGGGACATCCTTGGTGTAGAAGGTGAACAACCGACTACTCTACTTCGCGCATCCTCGTCGCCAGTTGTCGTGATCTGTGGTCACGACTATTGTGAATTTATATCAGAAACTTATCAAACAGATTAACACACGTTTATGCCGGAACAGGAACTAACTTTATTCAGATAAGATAACGCCACAGATGGCGCTCTGGTAGACATGCGAGTGGCGCCGCCCAGTGGGGCGCAGCAGTACTAGTAGTCACAGGCTACTACAGCTCTCTCTGATACCGATTGCTGCAGTTGCAACACCGCAGGAGAGCGGCGTTGTGATGGATTTGCGAATAAAATGAGCAGAGAACAGTGCGTTGCTCAATGTACTTGTACCATCCCTGAACTGGTTTCTGGAACCGTCATGGCCGGCGGCGTTGCATTGTGGGTAATTTGAAAATTCGCGGAGCCCTCTATATAGTGCCCTCTCTACACAACAACGCGTACACCGCCAATGGGTAACAACCACATAGGTAAACCACCGTCCATAAGTGCCGGTGGCTGTTACATATAGTGCCCTCTACACAGGCACTTGAAGCGTTTCAGTAAAATATAATGCTCATAAATATATAGACTGATACATAAACTGACACATAAATATAAAACTATATATTTATGTGTCAGTGTGCAGCAGCTAGCGTGCGGAAGCCAGCGTGCGTTGCAGATAAGCATTTGGACGGCATTTGCAGGAAATTGTCGGCAATAATAGGTGAAAGAGAGTTGAGAAACATTAAGACTTTGGTAGTAAATAGATTTCGTATTTATTTAGCATTATATTTTATTGAAACGCTCCAAGTGCCTGTGGCCCTCTACATAACAACGACGTACACCGTCCATATAGGGGCAGGTGGTTATTATATAGTGCCGTCTCTACATAACAAACAATCACAATTTACACCGTCCATATAGGTGTTGGCGGTTATTGTTCTATACTGCTCTCTCGATCTACATAACAACGCCCCACCCGCCCACAGGTGCGGTTTATGTTATATAGTGCCCTCCTACAACTTCCTGATACGACCGGTATTGGGGGATCTGAATCTCTTATCCAATAACTGCAAGGGTATGCATATGCAGTTAAATATTGATGCAAAACTGAATTGGGAATGAAAAGCAGTTGACATTTTTACAACATGCAGTTTTCCTGACCATTGTTAATTCTATACACATTTACTGATTGTAATTTACTTAATTTGTTTTAATTCTGTACTTTACTATTTGTCTTCTCTTGCGACGAGAGTAACAATTGTAATAGAAGTTAGGTTAGCAGCTTATAAGTTAGGTACGTGTATTTATAATTTAACAAATTTGAGCTCAATTTATGTCTTCTGCCGATGAACGTATACGTACGTACTAAACGAATGTGGTCAGATGTAGCTGTACGTCTTTATGACCCAAGTTTATGGATTTGTTTACGTTATTTAAGAGAAAATAAAAAGAAACCTGAGATGGAGTTAAACATTGCACTTTTGCTAATATATATCGAGTCTTTACCACGTATATGACTTACTTTTTTTCTATATATGCAAACATATATATATATTTATATCAGGAGTAGATAATAGGGTCTACTATTTATATATTAATGCCTGTTGTTGGGGGCACTATGCTCTCATAGTGTTGCTGAGGGAAGGTGTAGTGCCCGAGCGGTAGCGAGGGCACTATTCATTCACAAAGCAACACTATGACAGCATAGTGACCCCAACAACAGGCATTAATGTTTTTAGTGCATCACATGACTTTGCAATCTACTTGGCAAATATGAAGTGAATAAGACAAAGTTTCTTAAACGAACAATTTCAATTTGTATTAAACTGTCTACGTCACGAATTCTAGCACCAGCAAGTAGTATATTTGTGTGTCATTTGTACAAAATAAAATGTATGAAAATACAATTAGTGTTTCTGTTTACTTGTCATGCTTATATACCTTCTTTATATTCCCTAATTTGCCGGTGCATTCGATGTAACAAAACGCTCGACACAAACACAATCGCCATTAATTTGAAACTCTGGCGTGGCGCCCAGACGCAGGAGATTCGTGACGTGAATACAATGCGTTATATAACAATGCGTCGCGCAAGCAATAGTGCCCGCTCAGGCGGGCACTATTGCTTCATAGTACCTGCGACGTTTTCCAATGGAATTTCAACGATTTATCACGTAATGCACTAATAGGGCCTATTATCTACCCCTGATATATATATATATCAGGGGCGGCGCCAGGGTATTTTGATAGGGGGGGGCGAAACGGCACGCAAGCGCCGTTCGCGTGATTTTTTTTCCCTAGGATAATCAAGAACATAGGGCTCTAGTGAGCGCTGCCATTGGTTAAGTTTGTTTCGTCGCTCAATGACGTCACAGTGTCGTAATATTCATGCCACATCCATAATCCATAATTCCAATAATCCTGAATAGCCGAACGCGTAGAGAACGAACGTCACGGATGAAAGGTCGTGGCATCGAGTCGCATACGTTTTTTAATTATTTTCCTGTTTTCTGTATTTTTCTATCTTTATCCATGGATTTAACTTCTTTTTTTCCAATTAACGCAAATATTTACATGATTTATTTACAACAATTTAATAACAACAAATAGTTTTTACAACAATTAAAAATGTTATTTTATTTTAATTTTTTTAATAGGGTTAGGGTTAGGGTTAGGTTACAATGCACCATAAAACAGGAGTTTGAGGCATGTGATTTGTATCAACCAATGGCAGCGCTCACTAAAGCCCTATGTTCTTGATTATCTTAGGGAAAAAAATCACGCGCGCCGTTCGTCGCGCTTGTTCGACGCAGGGGGGTGTCTTTTGTTTGGAAAAAGTTGGAATTTTTTGAAAAATGCAGCAGAAATGGTGCGATTTGGTGCATACTTTTAAGCAAATTTCCCGATAAAAACTGTTAATGTTCAACTTAAGTTAACACCTTCAAGTGGGCCTACCTTTCCACCGGGAAACAGCATCATCGACAAATGATGGTCCCACCTTGGGACTCCCAAGGAAATAACACATTGACATCGATTATCAAATTAAGCACAGGTTTTATATGGATTGAATTTCGACACTTAATTTTTCGACTTTTCGATGAAAGTTGTCCAGCTTGTAGGCTACATATCACTCATTTTTTGTGGTGGCATCATACGCAATTCTTCTTTCCCTTTTCTTGTAAATGATGGGGGGGCAACCCCCCCATCATTTGCAAGAAAATGATAGGGGGCGACCCCCCTAATCCTATAATCCTAAAATTATGTAATTATAATACCGGTACATAAGAATATCTTCATAATCTTCTTTTTCGGAACTTTTATTAAAAAATTCTCGTCAATATGCAAATGAGGCACGATCGTTTGCTCGCCCCACGCAGACCGTTGGGATTTTTTTTTCTAGGTCAATCAACAACATAGGGCTCTAGTGAGCGTTGCTATTTGTTGAGCTTGTTTCGTCGCTCAATGACGTCACAGCGTCGTCATATTCATAGCACATCCAAAATTCACCATCCATAATTATGGAAGCCCTGAAACGACATCCGACTTTTTGAGTTTTCGAGTTTCCGAGATTCTTCTGCGCATACACCAGAGACAATAGAACACTGTCACGGTTAGCGTCATAAATTAACTTGCAAACGCCACCGCCAGATGGCGCTACGCGGTCTATCGGAGTGGGTGTTGCTAACCCAGGGGCGTGGAGGGAGGTCACGTGATAACGTTGACGATGACGTTAATCCTAACGGTAACCCTCAATCCAACACCGCCAACACTAACACTCACACTAAATATATATGTGTCGCCGCGCCATATATAGGCATTGTTATCCACAAAAATTAATCTATGGTGTGGGGACAGATATCATGATGCAAAAACCCTAACCCTAACCCTAATCCTAACCCTAACCCTAAGCCTAACCCTAATCCTAACCCTAACCCTAATCCTAACCCTAACCCTAACCCTAACCCTAACCCTAACCCTAACCCTAACCCTAACCCTGACCCTAACCCTAACCCTAACACTATCCCAACACTAGTGCTGCCACATTGCGGTCACCTCCCTCCACGCCCGTGGGATAGCATTACCCCTATCGGAGTAGGGACCCTATATCGGAGTTTCGGGCGTATCAGTGGAACATCGTCAGCACTCACGTAGTTTTGGTACAGGGTAGCGAAGGAGCAGTGTAGGGAGGGGGAGGGGAAAGGAGGGGGAGGGAGGAGGAAGTTTAGAGTAGTACTAGTAGGTGGAGTAGGGAGAAGCTAGTGAAGTATGAGGAAGGGGAGAAGGGAGAAGCTGGTGAATGAGGAGGGGGAGAAGCTGGTGGAGAAGGAGGAGGGGAAGAAGCTGGTGGAGAATGAAGAAGGGGAGAAGGGAGAAGCTGGTGGAGGAGGAAGGGGAGAAGGAAGAAGGTGGTGGAGGAGGAAGGGGAGAAGCTGGTGGAGAAGGAGGAAGGGGAGAAGGGAGAAGCTGGTGGAGAAAAGAGAAGCTGGTGGAGGAGGAAGGGGAGAAGGGAGAATGTGGTGGAAGAGGGGGAGAAGCTGGTGGAGAATGTGGTGGAAGAGGGGGAGAAGCTGGTGGAGAAGGAAGAAGGGGAGAAGCTGGTGGAGAAGGAGGAAGGAGAAAAGGAGGGGAGAATGGAGCTGCTCCAGCTTCTCCTTTCTCCACCAGCTTCTCCCTTGTCCCCTTCCTCATTCTCCACCAGCTTCTCCCCCTCCTCATTCTCCACCAGCTTCTCCCCTTCCTCCTTCTCAACCAGATTCTCCCTTCTCCCCCTTCTCCTCCACCAGCTTCCTTCTCCCCCTCCTTCTCCCCTTCCTCCTTCTCCACCAGCTTCTCCTCCTCTCCCTACTCCACCTACTAGTACTACTCTAAACTTCCTCCACCCTCCCCCTCTCTTCCCCCTCCCCCTCCCTACACTGCTCCTTCAATACCCTGTAGCAGAACTACGAGAGGTGCTGACGATGTTCCACTGATTCGCCCGAAACGCCGATAGACCGCGTAGCGCCATCTGGCGGTGGCGTTTGCAAGTTAATTTACGATGCTAAACCTGATGTTTAGTCTCTGGTGTATGCGCAGAAGAAACTCGGAAACTCAGAAACTCAGAAACTCGGAAACTCAAAAAGTCGGATGTCGTTTCAGGTCTTCCATATTATGGCAATTAATATCCCTCAATAAACCACTTCGTAGTTACGCATTGAGCATGCGCGAGATTCTGGCGTGAACTTTTGCCAAAGGTCAATTGTACATAAAACGCTTGCTGGGTCTCCGTGGCGTGTGATAGCAAGTGGAACCGTACGTACTGTATTTGTCTAAGTTGGAAATAACATCACATTTAACTAAGATTTGCCTAATATAGAATACGTGTAAACTTCATTGATACATGTAGAACAAATACATGTTATTTGTTCAATTTTGTTGTA